GAGAGGGGCAGAGGTGCAGGCAGGGAGAGGGGCAGAGGTACAGGAAGTGAGGGGCAGAGGGGCAGGCAGGGAGAGGGGCAGAGGTGCAGGCAGGGAGGAGAGTGGAAGAGGTGCAGGCAGGAAAAGGGCAGGGAGAAGCAGGAGAGGGGAAGAGGTGTAGGCAGGGAGAGGGGCAGAGGTGCCGGCAGGGAGGGAGAAGGACAGTGGTGCAGGCACGGAGGGGGTAGAGGGGCAGTCAGGGAGAGGGGCAGAGGTGCAGGCAGGGAGAGGGGAAGAGGTGGAGGCAGGAAAAGGGCAGGGAGAGGGGAAAAGATGCAGGCAGGGAGAGGGGCAGAGGTGCAGGCAGGGAAGGGGCAGAGGTGCAGGCAGGGAGAGGGGAAGAGGTGGAGGCAGGAAAAGGGCAGGGAGAGGGGCAGAGGTGCAGGCAGGGAAGGGGCAGAGGTGCAGGCAGGGAGGGGGGCAGATGGGCAGGGAGGAGAGGGGAAGAGGTGCAGGCAGGAAAAGGGCAGCGCTACAGGCAGGGAGAGGGGCAGAGGTGCAGGCAGGGAGAGGGACAGCGAGATGGACTGCATCCAGAGCAGGCTGGTTCCCCCAGAGCCGCCCTGCCTCCCCCCCTCACCTGCCCGCGGGCTGCGAGCCCCGGCGGCGGGATGGGGGTTGTTGAAAGCAGTTTCCACTCCGCCGCACAGATGTTCCCAGCCCGTGCCAAGAGAGCGGGAGAGGCTTAAAGAAAGAAAACATTGTCCTATGGCAAAGCCCAGCGAGTATGTAGGAAGATTTCTCCTTTTTTGTTATAACCATTATGATTTGGCAGCGTGAAAATGGATTTCTCTCGGGCCTGAATCAGCTCAGCTCCAAACTATTCAGGATTTTATCCTAGTGCTCATCCCAACATCCAAGTGCCTCCCTGGCATGGAGGCTCATGCCCAGCCAGAGGGAACACTTCCAGTGCCATCCTGTCACCGTGTCTCCCTAATCAAACCCAAACTGTCCGTGTTTTTATATTCATCCCAGCTGTCTGGTGTCCAAAGCACTGGGACAATTCATGCCATAACAGCAAGGAATTTTCCATAATAGTGACCAAGCATTTCCCCCTTTTCTTTCTTCCCCCCACCCCACTTTTTCCCTGCTCTACATTTGCTCCAAGGTCTAAGCCTGGTACAGAGAAAACAGGAGCTGGAAAGGCAGAGGCTGGAGACAGCCAGGAGATCCCAAAAAAGGCATTTTAGAGAGAAAGTGCTGATGCAACCCAGTGGTGCCGTCGTGCTGCAGCGCCAATAAATATTTGATTTAGCCTGAATAGGAAGGCATCGCATCTGGAATGATCTGAAGAAGAGGGAAGATCACAAATACAATATTATTGAAAGGAAGGTTAGCATGGTGAGCATTCCTGGAGCTCACCCCAGCGTGCAAATTGCCTTAGATTGGAATAAACTGATGTTACCTGTTGGAAAGGTACCACTGGCTGCACTGGGCTGGGTGGGCTGTGCTGCCAGTCACAGGATGCCTGTGCCTGGTGCTTGGAAAGACACTGAGATAAAAATCCAACAGATTTTTAAGTCCTTGGCTGACGTGTGCTGTCAGCATTCCCTGCACTGGCCTTGCTGGACACAGCTGGGGGGCTGACAGAGCCCTGGGAAAGCCACTTTCATTACCCGATACTTTCAAATTCTGGCAGGTTTGTGTTTTTTTTGACTTGGCTGTGTTTCACTGTCACATTTTGGACTCTTCCCCTTTCATGTGTTCATCAGGTCTCACTATCCATCCATCCCCTTCCAACAAACACCGGGTTCTGATCCGACTCTCTCAGTCCGTTCCCACCTCTTGGACTGTCCACTCCCCTCACTTTTTCTTTCAGTTTTTCCTCGCTTTCTTTAACAAGTTGCTCTGGATTTCTGGTTCCACTTAGCTCAGCATTAAGCCCTGCTCGGGTTCCCTCCCTCACTCCCACCACTGCTGTTCTGGCTCGTGTGGGATGCTGCTGGGCTCGAGTGTCCAGCCAAAACCAACCAGAGAGAAACAACAAGTACTTTCCTTTTCAGTGAGCTGGGAGTTTTCTAGAGCCGATAAACCCATTCTTCCCACACTGCGTGAAGCACAACCTGCCTTTGTTAAATAATTCAGAGAGAAAAAATCCCCATGTCCTCATGCAAACGCTCTGGTAGAACCCAGTTTCCATCTCCTCAGGGTCTAGAGCAGGGTTTGCAGTGGATGGGCCTGTGAGCAGGGCCAGGAATCTGCTGGGGGTCCCAGGGAGTGCTCAGGACTTTGCTTTATGGATTGTGACCTTTGTATAGGATAAGGGAGACTAATATTGAGGATGTATTTCCCAAAAGAGCATTTTATCTACTGGCCTGATAAAGATGGATTTCACAGCTCTCTGGCCAGGAGGATGCTGAGAAATGAGCTTTAACTGTGGGTTCAGAGCCAGTTCAAGAGTCAAACCTCTGAACTTAGGAGTGTTTGTAGCTGGAATTTTTGCTCAGCTTTGGTGCTGACTTCCTTGACTGCCTGGGACAGTGAGACCCCCCCCAGTGCCAACAGCTTTCCTTAGCCAGGCTGGGAGCAGTGAGCCAACAAGGTGCTGGTGGGTTTATCCAGGAGCAGATCCTGCACAGAACCACCACACCACATCCCACCAGCCCAGGCCACCCAAGGGTGGGCTCCACCCCACCAGGCAGGGCTGCTTCCTGCCGTCATTCCCACCTCCTTGGGAGGAAAGACTGAGCTGGCCCCAGGGCAGCAGCCCCCTGGGATAGAGATCTGGATAACTCCTAGAAGGGGGCTGCTTCCCTGGGAGGCCTGGCAGGGGTTCACCCCACCAGTGCCAGGCTCTCGGGGGACATCCCTTACCCATCAGGGCTGGCTGTTGGTGGGGGGGAAACTTCAGCTGGGCTCAGCCCTCTCTCCTCTCTGGATAAGCAGGGACCACTCGTGGTAGAGCCATCCCCAGAGGATCCATGGGTGGCTGATCCCCCTCCATCAGCTCAGCATCGCCAGGACACGATGGATTTAGTCTGAGATCACTCCTGGCCCCAGTGGCAGCACACAGCCCTCTGCCCTCCTCCATGCCCAGCACACTGACAGCTGCCAGCCCTGTGTCCCCCAGGGAAGTCACCATCTCCTGCCACCACCCCGCCTGAGCTCACAGCCCCCAGCACAGGGACACCTGACCTGCAGGGAGGAGGGATCATGACACCTCCAGCATTTTGGTCCATCTCTTTTGAAGTCACATCATCACCAGCTGTGTCCAGGGCAGGGCTTGCAGCACATGTGCCTGGGGTGCTGGTGGTGCCTCATTCCTCTGCAGGGCGGGGAAGGTGGTGGGAATGCTGCCTGGCACAGCAGATCCTTCCCTGGGACATAGGGAGATGCTGCTGGATGCTGCCAAGGCCTGCAGGGATGGAAGAGCCTGCAGCATCCAAAATCAAGCTTAGCCCCCCCAGAGACCCCCTCCCCAGCTCAGCATCAGCCTTGGCAGTTCCTGAGGGACAGAAGAGCTGCTTGGCTGCAATGGGGCCACTGCCACCCCCCTGCCCTGCAGTAAGGTGACACTTAGTGGCCACCCCTGCCTGGCAGAGGGACTTCCTCCCTGCTCTGCCCCTTCCCAGCCCTGTGGCCCTGGACAGCAGCTGCTGGGATGTGCTGGGTTCATTGGCACACTGGGCAGCCCTGCTGCCTCCCATCTCTGCTCCAGGCTGTTATCCCAGAGGGTTGGTGGGAGCCATCAGAGCAGTCCTGGGTGAGAGTTCATCTCGGGCTGCTGGCAGAGGAATGCAGGTGCCAGCCTCATGTATCTGGGCTGACTTTGGCAATTTGAGTCCCCCAGAGCTGTTTGAAGAGAAATGTGCTGCTGTGGGGCTGTGGGTGAGTGGAAGGCAAGTTACTACAGAAACAACTGGTCCTGCTGCAGACCCTCTCCTTGTGCTGGCATGGTGCCATGGGACAGGTCCAGCCGGACCAGGGCACTAATGCATCTGAAAGCTGCCTGTAAACCCCACAGGGGTAGGTTTTCTCTGCTGAAGGTGCTGCAGATGGAGAGCAAGGAGCTGACCTAGTGGCTTTGAACATCCTTCATCCTCTCACCACACAGGGAGGGCTCAGGAGGCACCATCCCTCCCCAGACAGGCTCTGTCAGACCCCAAATGGGCACCTGAGCATGATGCCAGATGGTGCAGGGTGGGAAGGAGGTGGGCAAAGCCTCCAGGCTCTGCCAGCGCTGGGTTGGCAACCCTCGTTTTGTCTCTCTGTGTAGAGGAATCCTCGTTATGTGCCAAAACCTCAGTGTGGTGAGTGCAGAGGTGATCATTGTCCCACTGTCCCAGCTGAGAGCATCCAGAGGTGGCAGAATTGGGGCATCTCACAGTCATCCTGAGGTGATGCTGAGGGCAGCAGGGCAGCACCCGTGGAGTACGGCTGGGATTCCTGGGAAAATCCAGGGACCGTGGAGGGGGCAGAGGGCTGGGGCACCCGAGGGTGCTGCTGGGGGTGGAGGGCTGGGGCACCCGAGGGTGATGCTGGGGGTGGAGGGCCGGGTCACCCCAGGGTGATGCTGGGGGTGGAGGGCTGGGGCACCCGGGGTGATGCCGAGGACACCAGGCAGGCGGGGCTCGGCCGCCCGTGCCGCCAGCGGCAGCTCCCCGCTCTCCCCCCTCCTCCTCCTCCTCTCCGCTCCCTCTTCCTCCTCCTCCCGTCTCCGTCTCCCTCTCCCGAGCCAGCCCGGCCGGGGGAGGAGCCGGCCGCGCACAAAACCTCCCGCCCGGCCCCTCCGGGCCCCGCACCGGCACCGGCACCGGCGGCGCCCAGCGCCCGCCCGGGGCCATGAGCGCCGCGGCGGGGCCGGGGCTGGGGCCGGCGGGGCCGGGGCAGGGCTGGGGCCGCCCGCGGCCATGAGCGCGGCGGGGACGGGCACGGGCGGCGGCCCCGGGGGGCGGCGGCGGCCCCGGGCGGGGGGCGGCGGGGCGAGCCCGGCGGGGCGGCCCCGGGCGGGGGGCGGCGGGGGGCGGCGGCGGCGGGCGCTGCGCTCGCTGGGCAGCCTGGCCGGGCGGCTGCTCCGCACCTGGGCGCGCCTGGCCGGGGGGCGCGGGGGTCGCCGAGCCGCCCCGGAGGATGACGAGGGCGGGTTCCGCGGCGGGGAGCGGCGCCGGCCCGGCGGGGCGGCCCCGGCGGCGGGGGGCGCGGGGGGCGATGCGGGACCGGGCGGGGAGCGGCCGCCGGGCGCGCAGGGGCTGCGGAACCACGGGAACACCTGCTTCATGAACGCCGTGGTGCAGTGCCTGAGCAACACGGCGCCGCTGGCCGAGCGCCTGGCGCTGGGCCGGTACCGCGCCCGCGGGGCCCGCGCCGAGGTCACCCACCGGCTGGCGGCCCTGGTGCGAGCCCTCTGGACCCGCGACTACACCCCGCAGCTCTCCGCGGAGTTCAAGGTACCGACCGGACCCGCCCCGCGCGTCCCGAAGTGACCCCGGCCCCCAGCGGCATCCCCAGCCTCCACTGGCATCCCCAGCTCGCAGCGCCCACCAGCACCCCCTCCGAACCCACTGACACCTTTCCCAGACCCCAGCACCCACCAGCATTCCCTCTGAACCCACTGATGCCTTTCCCAGACCCCAGCGCCCACCGGCATGCCCAGCTCACGGGCTCCACCAGCATCTCCTACTCCCAGCACCTGCCAGCATCCCCCCACTCTTAGCACCCTCTGACACCCCTGCCAGCACCCCCAGCTTGCAGCACCCACCACCATACCCCCAGCCCCCCAACAGCATCCCCCCACTCCTAGGATCCCTCCACTCCCAGCACCCAGCAGCACTCCCAGTTCACAGCACTTACCAGCATCCCTCCTCTCAGCACCCACCAGCACCGCCCAGCATCCAGCACCATTCCCAGCACCCACCAGCACCTCCTGCTCACAGGACCTGCCAGCATCCCCCCACTCTCAGCACCCTCTGGCACCCCCAGCTCACAGGACCCATCAGTATCTCCCCACTTGCAGCACCCACAGCACCCCCTGCTCACATCACTCACTCCCCTGCCTCGTCCTCCCTGTGGCCCCTGTCCTGCCAGACACCTCCCAGCCCTGCTGCCATCACCCCTCTGTGGCTGGGCTGCTGTCACCTGAGCTCTGAGCTCCCGTGGGTGGGTGGGCTCCCAGCCATGGCCACACCACTGGGCCATAAGGATGAGCCCCTGCTGGCTCTGATGGTGGGGTAAGGCAGGACAGGACAGTGCCCCGGGAGCCCAACTCAGTGGCCTCAGGCCCTGTCACTGAGTGTGTGTCACATCCCTGCTGGGCACATGCCAGTGTGCTGTGAGCCTGCCCCCAGCTAGGGACAGGGACGGGGTGTCAGGCACAGGACAGCATGTCCAGCCTGGCACCACAACTCCCCACGCTCAGGGACATGTGTCCCAGTGACATTTCAGCAGGGAGGGACCCAGTGCTGCCGATGAACTTTGCAAAGTGGAAAGCCAGGCCCTGCCCTGGGGTAGCAGCCGGTCTGTATCTGCGTGGGTAAGGTCTGGAGTACCCACTTCTCTGCCCCCCCTTTCCAGGGGGAACCTTCCTTCCTCCCATCTTGGCCTGGAGGCTGGCAGCACCCACCCCACAGGGTGCTCCTGCAGGAGCTCATTGCCTTTAACAGCCCTTTAGCAAAGCAACCAGCTCTTGTGCTGCTGGGCACAACAATTCCATGCCCTCTGCTCCTGAACACACATGTTCCTTAGGCACAGATCAAAAAAAAACCCTCAGACTTCCAGCCTTTGCTTTGCATTCCCTCCTTCCCGGTGGTTACCTACAGCTGCCACGAATTTCCACCTCATTTTTTAAAGCAGCCCAAGTAAGATTTTAAAATTTAGAGCCGAGTCTGTGACTGGTTTTGCTGGAAGCCCATCTGTGGTGGCCTTGCTCCCTCTGCTTGTACTGGGATGGTTGTACTGCTGGGAGCAGGGCTGGGGACAAGCAGAGCGGTGGCCTGAGGGGTCTTGGCTTGGGGTGTTTCCCAGCGATGTTGGAGGTTCTGATCCCTATCCTGGCAGGTCCCAACATGCTGGTTATAATCAGCATGGATGGTCGGGGTTTAACTGCGTCACCCAGTTAAAATCCACACAGATGGTCAGACTTTCTCCCTCCTGGTGCTGGGTTTGGGGCTGAGCTCCTAAAACTGTCCTCTGAGGAGCCACCACCAGCCCAGACTTGGAGATAAGTCCTTGGGGATCCCCCCAACTCTGCTTTTTGGGGTGCCCCCTGGGCTTCCCGCAGGGATTCCACACCCTATGCATTCTGCTTTTTCGGGGTCAGAGACCCATCCTGGCAAGTGCATACACAGCTCTCATGGGCTGTTGGCATCTGCTGGTGGCACATACCCTGGGGCCACCCAAATCACGGGCATGTTGCACCTCTGGGAGCTTGGCTGACTTGGCAAGGGAAGTGGCTTCAGCGCTGGCTTGGTGATCTGATGTCACCCTGGTGGGTGACACCTTATCCTGCCTGGATATCATCTCAGCCCCATGGCATTCCCACCCCGTTCTTCCCCCTACAGCCCCCAGTGAGGGGGGAACTCCCCATAAGGGCATTGTACCACTCACCTCACAGTGAAATTAATGCTAATTAGCCCAAATGCTGTGGTGTGGCCAGTGCTCAGTGGGGGCAGGCAGGGACCACATGGCATTAGGGTCTGATCAGGGCAGTGGTGGAGTTACAGGCAGGGAAGTGCTCTCTTTGATGGGGCAGGGGTGGTGTTGGTGGCATGGGGACATGGGCTTTTGGGGCAGGGTATCCAGAGGGAGCATCACAGCATCCCAGTGCTGGGAATTCCCTTCTCCTGGCTGTGACACCGAGTCGGTGCCGTTGGAGTGCACAGGGCAGGTGACACTGGTGGGTCCCCGTGGGCTGGTCTGGCTCATATGGGGTGTGCCCTGTGCCCAGCCACAGCAGGCTATCCCCTCCCAGCCTCATGCCAGCAGCTGGGACACCGTGGTGATGGGCATGGAGCTGCTGTCTGGTGTGCTGGTGTCCCCACCTCTCTACTGTCCCCAGGGTGGGCATGATGTCCCTGTAGAGGCAGAATGAGGGCAGGCGCTACTGGAGGGATGAGGCAGGGGTGGGTTTTGTGGTGGGTGCTAATGAAGTATCTGTGGCTCACCCTGCCCTGCCCATCTCTTGCAGAACATTGTCTCCAAGCACAGCTCGCAGTTCCGGGGCAACGCGCAGCACGACGCCCTCGAGTTCCTGCTCTGGCTGCTGGACCGCATGCACGAGGACCTGGGGGCTGCCTCCCCTGCCCAGCAGACCCGCAGCCCCCAGGAGGTGGGTAACCCCACTGGGGTGGCTGCACACCCTGGCTCAGGTTGTTTGGGCCAGGTCTGGGAGCGGGGAAGCCGGAATGTCCTGGGAGGCAGTGGGACTGGAGCTGGCCCCCACCCCGGTGTGGATGGGGATATGGATGATGTGGTTTGGTGGGCGTGCGGGTGGAAGGATGGTGGGATCTGGGTTCTGGAGGGGTGAGCAGGGTGGTTGGAGTGCTGGGAGAGTGTGGGGGTGTCAGCAGGAGCATCCCAGTTCTGGTGGGCATCCTGGTTCTTGGGGCTGCTTGGTGAGGAGGAGATCCAGCCCCCCCCCAGGCCCTTCCTGCCTCCAGCTAAGCCCGCTGTAATTACAGCTCAGCAGCTTTGCTGCTGGCAAAATGAGTAATTAAGTCTCCTTCGATCCATCTGTGCTCAGGCATTGCCCTGGCCTTGGCCCTCCCTGCCTGCCTCCCTGCTTCCTGCCTGCTCCTTCCCTGCTCCCTCCCTCCCTCCCTGCCGGGTGCTGCCCGTTGCAGTGAATGGATTTGTGCAGTTGGCATTTGCCACGTCAGCTCAGCTCAGCAGAGTGCTGTCCCCACTCTGGGGGTGACTCCCAGCTCCACGATGTGCTGTCCCCACTTTGAGGGTGATGCCCATCTTGGGCACAGGGAGCCTGGGACCAGCTTCCTCCTGCTTGGGGTGTCATGGCTGTGCCCAAGGGTGCAGGTCAGGGTCCCCATGGGCAGCCCCTGCCCAGCTTCCAGCCTGACGTGGGCACAGCTCTGTCCCACAGGGAGGGCTCAGCTGCAGTGCCCATCTCTAGAGCCTCTGGCTGGGGCAGCCCTGTGGCTCCCAGCCCTGCTTGGCCAGGGTCCTGCAGCCATCCCTGCACTGAGCTGGGCTGTCCTCAGCCCTGCCACCTTTCCCATGAGTTGTTTGGATACCCCAGGCTCTCTGGGAGACCCTGGCAGCTCCTGTTGCTCACGTTAAATGTGAGGTGCCCACGTGTGCCATGGGCTGTGGTGTGACACCAGCAGTGCCCTCAGCTGCCCATGCAATGCCCGGGGCACCTGCCTGGCTCTGGGGATGGGGCCCTTGTGTGTCCTTCAGCATCCATGGTTTTGTTTGGCATTCCCCAGTCTTGGGGGATGCCACCTGAGTGGGATCTGCATGCCTGTGTCCTTGGGGAGGGGGTGCCCAGCGGGGGTGGTGGGAGCCTGGATAAATGGCTTGGAAGTGTCTGGATGGAGGTGGGCACACACGTGCCTGTCCTAGTGCTGGGGAGGAGGAGGGGGTGTGTGCATACACATGGGGATGGGGAGACAATTTACTTCTGGTCAAGCCCATCCTGAGGCTCAGGGACTGGAGAGCTCAGCTGTTGGGCAGAAAGTGAGGAGATCAGAGCTGGGCAGGCTGGAGGATTGGGAATACCCTCCTGGCCCATGAGGTGTGTGCTGTGACACCCAGCGAGCTGTGGGGCCACTGTGGTGGAGACCAAGGCTTGGCTGCTGGGAGGGCTGGAGGAGGAGGTGTCCCCTTGGGTTTTGGGGGTTCTGGGGGCTGTGTAGGGCACAGACATTATCTAGGCCCACTCTCATCCACACCAGATGGACCCCAGCCCTGCACAGATCTTAAGGACACGTCAGGCTCAGCAGGACCTGGTGCCAGCAGATGGCATGAGGAAAATCCACTTCCTGGCCAAATACCTCATTGATTTTCAATCCTTCTCATTGCAACACCAAAAACTCACTGTCTTACCCCAAAACAGCCCAGTCCCTTCCCAAGCCACCAACACTCCTTTCTGCAGCATCTCTTCTGTCACTGGGCTCCGGGGGTGAAGTCAGTGGCTCCTGTCCTTGATGTGGGGCTCCTGGTGGTTGGCAGGGCAGGGGGCAGGCAGGGGGTGTCACCTAACCAGGCAGGTTTGGCTCTGTAACACAGTCACATCCCAGTGTCCTTATTCCCTGTGGAATGGGGCAGAAGACTGTGCTCTACTCGGTGTCCCTGGGGCCCATCTCAGCTGTCAGAGGGGTGCTGTGCCCACCACCTGCACCCACATGGACCCACGAGAGCCCTGTGCTGGGGCAGGGTCAGGGTGATGGGTGCTGTGCCAGGAGCCCTGCCCGGGCTCAGCGTGCCAGGTGCTGTGCCTGGGCTTGATGTGGCAGGTGCCACGCTGGGTGCTGTGCCTGGGCTTGCTGCTGGGGAAACACGCAGCAGCAGCAGCAGCAGGGCTGGTTTCTGGGTGCCTGCAGCCCACGCCAGCCCACCTGCCCGGGAGGGCATCGTGCCAGCCCGGCCTTCACTGAGCTCCCCTGGTCTGGGGATTTGCCTGTGGTTAATTGGCACCCAGCCGTGTCCCCCCCTCCCCGGGCGGGTGCATGCCCAGGAATGTGCACACCTGCTCCAGGAGCTCACCTCTCATGGAGACACACACGGACATGAACACAGACACACGGACCTGCTGCAGCGTCCCACCACCTCACCCCCCGTGCCCCAGCTAACAGTGCCCGTGGGCACGTTTGCTGGGTGGGGTGGGCACCTCCCTGCTGCCTGGGGGGGTGCCCGTGGGCACTGGGGCTCCTTGGGGGGATGTTATGGGGGACCAGCTTTCCCCCACCCCCGAGCTTTTCCCCTGCTGGGATGCTGCTATGGCTCACCCAGCATTTCCCTCCCGGAGCTTTTCAGCTGGGCTTGAATGCATTCCCAGCTCCAGTTCCTCAGTGTCCAGGAGCTCTGGACGCTGGGACTGCTTTGGGTGGCCCTTGGGGGTCCACCACTGCAGACCCTTCATTAACCCTTTGTGCCCCGTGCTGCTGGTGGATGGGATGTACCCCAAAGATTCCCCAGGAGAAGGTGGACAGGCAGCCTGGAAGGCACAGCAATGCCAGGCAGGCAGGTGCCAGGGTGACTTTGGCATCACCTCCAGCCCATCCTTGTGCCATGGGGACACCAAAACTGGCCTTGGTTCACTAGGACATGTCCCCAGAGCCTGAAGGGTGGGGGGTCACCCCGGCACCTCACTCACCCACTTGTCTCTTGTCCCCCCAGCCTGGCAAGGACAGTGGCAGTGCCAGCAGGTCCCCGCCAGCTGCCCAGCACCCCCGGGGGCAGAGCTTCGTGCAGAGCCATTTCCAGGCACAGTACAGGTGAGTGGAGGGCTGGATCCTGCCCCACTGTGAGCCCTGTGAGGGAAGAGATGAGACAAGGAGGTGTTCCATCCATCCATCCATCCATCCATCCATCCATCCATCCATCCATCCATCCATCCATCCCATCATCCCACCCAGTCCAGGCACCAGAGATGCTTCTCCCATGGGCAGAAAGTGTCCAAGGCCAGGTTGGACAGGGCTTGGAGCAACCTGGTCTAGTGAAAGGTGTCTCTGCAAGGGGGGCAGGTGGAATGGTCTTTGAAGGTCCCTCACAACCCAAACCATTCCGTGGTTCTGTCACAGGGCTCAGGATTAGGGTTTTCCCAAGCCTGTCCCAGCAGTCCAGAATAACGGTGTCCCTGCATGGGACATCCCACATGTTCATCTCTCTGAGACTCACAGGATGCTTGTAGGGCCAGCATCTGGCCACCCTGTGCCCATGCCATGGCAGTGCAGGCATGAGGGGATGCATCTGGCATCACAAGCCCTTCCTCCTCTCTCAATTAATCCCTTGGCCTATATATGAAAAAAAGGCACTTTAATTATCCACCCTTCCCCGTTCCAGAGCCGTCTGTGTGCAAAGGGATTTATTAATTTGTGTGGCTGCTTCCCGGGGAGCTCAGTGGCTCTTCAAGGTGACAAATAACAAGCATTCAGGATTTCGATTTGGGTTTTTAATTTATTTTCCCCCTTTTTGTTGACTATAAAGGCAGGAGAATAAGAAAAAAGTAATAAAAAAACAGAATTAAAAAGAAATCAGTGGTAAGGTGATGGTTGGCATTAAAGGTTCGCTTAAGCCAGTCTCCAGTGGGAGATGGGATGGTCCCTGCTGGCAGGGGCACCTGCTCCCCCACAGTGGCCCTGTGACCCCCCAGCAGAGCAGATGAGTTCTCACTGTCCCCAGGGCTCCCCTGGAGCTGGTGGTTGTTCCAAGCAGGGCCTGGGCGAGCAGAGCTGGTGGTCCCAGGGCTGTGGTCACATCCTGGGGCTTGTCACAGGCAGATGTCCTGCTGCCCATCACTGCTCCTCCCTGCAGCCCAGCCACAGCCCTGCTTATCAGCAGGGCTCCTGTTCCCTCCCAGCACCCCAAGGTGTTATCCCTGCTTAACCCAGGCCATCTGGGGTCAACTCAAAGCCCCCAGGAGCCAGAGGCCACCCCAGACTCTGCCAGCCCTTGGGAGAGGGAGCAGGATGTGGGGGAATTTTGGGCCTACATACATGAGAGCAGGAGATCCCCCAGCCCTGGCATTTCTCTGACTTCTCTAGCACCAGTTACTGTGGGTGCTCTTGTTAGGTTTCAGAGTGAGCAGCCCATGGGGTTGGGCAGGTGGGTACAGGCTGTGGTGCCTCACCCTGGCAGGAGGTTCATGCCAACCTGATGTGATGCTGGGACCACCCAAGCTCTGTGGGATGCAGTACCCAGGGTGCAGAAGCAGTGACAGGGCACTGCAGCCCCAGGGTGGGGACTCTGGGGGGGCCAGAGTCTGGTGATGCTCCCCATCCATGTTTCACAGGTCCTCCCTGACGTGCCCTCACTGCCTGAAGCAGAGCAACACCTTCGACCCCTTCCTGTGCATCTCCCTGCCCATCCCCCTGCGCCAGACCAGGTGAGCCCGACCCCCCTCCCCAGTCGTGGTAAAACGAGAGGCACATCCACCACCTGGCAGGGTGTCAGCTCCAACCTGAGTCATTTACATGGTTTGGGGTAAATAATTGATGGGGGAGTTGGGGGCAGCACTGGGGATGGACAACAGCAACCCACTGCAGGAGCTGTGTCCATGGGGTGTTTGCCAGCCCAGAGCTGGAGCTGCTGTGTGGGTGGGTCACAGAATCACAGAATCAAAGAATCACAGAATCAACCAGGTTAGAAAAGACCTCTGAGATCATCCAGTCCAACCCATGACCCAACCCCACCTTGTCACCCAGACCATGGCACTGATGCCACATCCAGGCTCTGCTCAAACACCTCCAGGGACGGGGACTGCACCCCCTCCCTGGGCAGCCCATTCCAAGGGCTGATCCCTCTCTCTGGGAAGAACTTCTTCCCCATGTCCAACCTAAACCTGCCCTGGTGCAGCTCAAGGCTGTGCCCTCTTGTCCTACTGCTGGTTCCTGGGAGCAGAGCCCGACCCCCCCCGGCTCCCCCCTCCTGTCAGGGAGTTGCAGAGAGTGAGAAGGTCTCCCCTGAGCCTCCTCCTCTCCAGGCTGAGCCCCCCCAGCTCCCTCAGCTGCTCCTCACAGCACTTGTGCTCCAGACCCTTCCCCAGCCCCGTTGCCCTTCTCTGGACCTGCTCCAGCCCCTCCATGTCCTTCCTGAGCTGAGGGCCCAGAGCTGGACACAGCACTCGAGGTGAGGCCTCAGCAGTGCCCAGTCCAGGGGCAGAATCCCTGCCCTGCTCCTGCTGCCACACTGTTCCTGATCCAGGCCAGGATCCATTGGCCTTCTTGGCCACCTGGGCACCTCTGGCTCTGGTTCAGCTTCCTATCAGTACCCCCAGGTCCCTCTCTGCCTGGCCCTGTCCCCATCCTATGGTGCTGCAGGGGGTTGTTGTGGCCAAAGTGGTCGTTGTAAGCGGTGTCAGGTCTCAGCACAGTGTCCCACGGCTGAGGTGTGTCAGTGTGTCCCTGTGGTGTCCCCAGGGCTCTCAACGTCACCCTGGTGCTGCAGTGCGAGCGCTGGCGCTTCGTGCGGGTGGGACTGGCTGTGCCACTGCTGGGCACCGTGGCCGACCTGCGGGAGATGGTGGCACGGGAGGGGTGCATTCCCCCGGAGCAGGTAACAGAGGGGGGACACACAGGGTGGGGGGACACCCCCCTCTCAGGGATGCTGAGGGTGCTGGGTGCCATCCCACAGGTGATCCTGGCCGAGGTGTCCCCGCGGGGCTTCCTGCGCTCGCTGGGGGACAAGGAGGAGCTGGGAGCTGCCGGGGAGGGGGCTCCTCTCTACGCCTTCCAGCCGCCCCCTGCCCGCCGCACAGGTACCGCCCCCGCGCCCTGATTGGCTGCTGGCTGCAGGCCTGCGCTGCTCTGATTGGTTGGGAGTGGCTTGTGCCACGCTGGGATTGGAGCTGGGCTGGGAGGGGGGCAGCACCCCTGGGATTGGTGGGGAGGTGGATCTGCTCTGCTGGGATTGGTGGGGAGGTGAATCCCCTCTGCTGGGATTGGTGGGGAGGTGGATCCCCTCTGCTGGGATTGGTGGGGAGGTGGATCCCCTCTGCTGGGATTGGTGGGGAGGTGGATCCCCTCTGCTGGGATTGGTGGGGAGGTGGATGTGCTCTGCTGGGATTGGTCAGAGACAGCTGCGCGCCACTGGGGTTAGGGGAGACAGGACTGGTTTGAAATCTCTGCTGGGATTGGTTGGAAACGGATCCCTTTAGCTGTGGTTGGTGGGAGGCAGGTGCGCTCTGCTGTGATTGGTGGGGGCTGTGTCCTCTCTGCTGTGATTGGTGGGAGCTGTGTCCTGTCTGCTGTGATTGGATGAGAGCCTTGTTTGCCCCTGTCTCATGATTGGTTGGACGTGGGTGTGCTGTGCTGTGATTGGTGGTAGTTTCCCCCCCTTCCCATGATTGGTGGGAGGCAGGCGTGCCGTACTGTGATTGGTGGGGGGCCAAGTCCCCCAGACTGTGATTGGTGGGAAGCACGGGGTGTAGGCAGCACTGCAGGCAGGGGAGCACAGGCAGGGACCCACCACGGGCATTGCATCGCACCAATTAACCAATTAACTAACTAACAAGAGCCCCTCCATGCCCCTGCCCTCCCTAGGGTGCCCCCGCAGCCTGCCCGCGTCCCCCGGGGTGGCCCGGCCTGAGGGGCCGCGCCTGCCGCCTGCTGCCGCCCGCTCCTCCGACTGCCTGCACCGCGGGCAGGGCGGCCGCATCCTGCTGCTGCTCTGCAACACGGCGGGCGCCGGCCCCCAGCTCGCCAGGTACTGTCACCTGCCCCCTGCCCGTGACCCCGCCCTGCCCTCCCGCTGCAGGACGGGGTGCGAGGTGTCCCTCCCGAGCCGCCTGTGCCCCTCAGCCCAGTGTCCCCCACTGCCTGTCCCCAGGTTCGGGCCGCCTTTGGTCCTGAGGGAGGAGCGGGGCATCTCCTGGGAGCAGCTCCAGCAGAGCATCCTGGCCCAGCTGCGGGCGCTGCTGCGGGGAGAGGTGCGGGCACAGGTGAGCTGTGAAGGGGGACACCCTGTGCCCTCCTGGGGCTGCTGGCACCGGCTACAGTGGCGACAGCAGGGATGGAGCCACATGTGGCCATGGTGTCTCCGTGGGTGGTCATGGTGGAGCTTTGGGTGGCGATGGCAGCACCGTCACTGTCTGTGGTGACACCCTCGGTGGCCATGGTAGAGCTGTGCTTGGCTGAAGGGTCACCAGGGGTGGCCAATACTGTCACCAGGGGTGGTTGTGGTGGCCCTGGAGTGGTTGTGCCATTGCCGCTGGTGGTCACTGTGGGTGGCCCTGCTGTCCATGTGGGTGGTCATATTTGCACCGCAGGCAGCCAGTGGTGTCACTATGGGTGACCACAGTGTCCCTGGGGGTGTCTGAGGTGACCCTGGGGATTGTCTCATTGTCACTGCAGTGGCCAATGGTGTCACCATGGGTGGCTACATCATCACTGTGTGTGGCTGCAGTGCTGCCCAGCTCGCAGCAGAGCCACCCCAGCCCAGCTGCACTCCCCAGCGCCCAGGTGCCACCATCCTATGGGCTCTGGTGTCTCCGTGCTGCCCCTTTGCCCCTCAGCTACCCCACAGCCAGTGGGGCAGGTCATCTTCCAGCCCCACATCCCTGGCCCCACAGATGTCCCTGACCAACCCAGCCCTGAGTACCAAAGAAATCCATTTTTTGAGCGTTTTTGTGTCCCATGTCACAGAGCCTGGCTCCTGCCGGTGCTGCTGTAGGGCCAGGGGGCTTCTGTCCCCCCGCAGCCCCATAGCCCCCTCTCCCCTCTCAGGCAACAGGAGCCCTTTTCCGCATCCGCCTGGCTGGGGGCTCGGTCCCCTGCATCTACCTGTCCCCGCAGGACCCCCGCCCTCTCTGCCACCCTGCCATTGACAGGTAAGGGCACTGCAGCGACGGGATTGTCCCCAGGATGTCCTCTCACTCCCTGGGGGTGGCCAGTGGCAACACCATGGATGGGTGCAGTGTTCCTGTGGGTGGCTATGGTGTCCCTGTGCGTGGCGGTGTTGTCACCATGGGTGGCCAAAGGTGTCCCTGTGGCTTTCCAGTGTCACCATGGATGGCCAGTGGTGCCACCATGGGTAGCCACAGTGGTGGTCACCCTGCTCCCCCAGCACTGCGTCCCCAGCCCAGTGTCCCCACTGTGGGTGGTGCACAGGGAGGTGCTGGCTGTCCCTGCCTGCCATCACAAGTGGGAAGGAGGTGGCCCCACAGGGACAGGGGGTTCTGGGGGGGCATCTCATGTTGTCCTCCCCCCCAGAGCCCTGCAGCTGAGCGGAGCAGGCGGCCCCCCCCACGTGAAGCTCACAGTGGAATGGGACGTGAGCACCAAAGAGCGGTGAGTCCCTTGCCCCCAGGGTGGGGGGGACACCCCAACACTCAGGCCACCCTCCCTGACCGGAATCATGTCACCACCCCCCCAGCCTTTTCGGCAACATCCAGGAGGAGGTGGTGCAGGACGCGGAGAGCGTGCGGCTGCAGCAGCAGGCACACCGGCAGCAGCACAGCTGCACGCTGGACGAGTGCTTCCAGCTCTACACCAAGGAGGAGCAGGTACGGGGCACCCCACACCCGTGTGGGCACCTGCTCCCTGCCCACACCTGCCAGAGCCACCACCGGGACCAAGCCCTGCCCGTGGCGCGGCGGCTGTCGGGGTGTAAGATGCCGCTGGAGGTGGCAGGGGGGTGTTGAGGATGGTGCCGTGGTGTCCCCAGCTGGCCCCGGACGATGCCTGGCGCTGCCCGCACTGCAAGGTGCCCCAGCAGGGCACGGTGAAGCTGAGCCTCTGGACGCTGCCCGACATCCTCATCATCCACCTCAAGCGCTTCCGCCAGGTGGCCGAGCACCGGCACAAACTCACCACGCTGGTGAGGTTCCCCCTGCGGGGGCTCGACATGGCCCCCCACGTGGCACAGCGGGGCCAGCCCGGGGGGCAACTTTTGGGGCGCTGGGCGCCCTGGCAGCCCCCCCTCCGCCTGCCCCCGGGCTGCCCCCGAGACTACCTCTACGACCTGTACGCTGTCTGCAACCACCACGGCAGCATGCAGGGCGGGCACTACACCGGTGAGTGAGCGGGGGCACTGCAGGGGGGGGCACGGGGTGGGCATGGCGGCGGGGGGCAAACTGCTGGGCAAAGTGTGAGGTTTGGGGGCGCCTCAAAGAGCGTGCTGTGGAGCACGGTATGGGGTTTAGGGGCACGGCTGGGGGTGCCGTGGGCAGGGGGCTGGAGGTGCCCTGCGAGGTTGTGGTGTGGGGTTTGGGGGCACTGCAGGGTTGTGGTGTGGGGTTTGGGGCCATGGAGTGGGGTTTGGGGGCACTGCAGGGTTGTGGTGTGGGGTTTGGGGCCATGGAGTGGGGTTTGGGGGCACTGCAGGGTTGTGGTGTGGGGCATGGAGTGGGGTTTGGGGGCAATGTGGGGGTTGTACCATGGAGTACAGCATGAGGCTGGGGGCATGGGAGAAGGGTGTGCTTTGGGCGTGGGAAAACGTTGTGGGGGACACTGCATGGGATTTGTGGGACATCACAGGAGGGTAGACCATGGACCATGCCATGGGGTTTGGGGGCCATGGGGCAAGGCAGAGGGGAGCTGGGGTGCAGAGGACATAGAGGATGGCGTTGCAGCCACCCCAGGGCAGGCACCCCAGCCGTGTCCTGCTCCCCCACCGTGTCTCTACTCCTGCTCCCCACTGCACCCTGGAGCTGGGGGAAGGTGTCCCAGGGCAGAGCCCGCATCCCTCACCCCATGCCCCCCTCACCCCCAGCCTACTGCTGCAACGCCCTGGACGGGCGGTGGTACAGCTACGACGACAGCCGTGTGGAGGGGGTGCGGGAGGCGGAGGTGAGCACCCGCAGCGCCTACATCCTCTTCTACCAGCGCCGCCACGCCGTGTCCGCCGGCGGCTCCGGCAGGGGTGAGCACCCACCTCCCTGAGCCCTGTGCCCCGGCACCGCCCGGCACCGCGCCCCGGGACAGGGCACAGCCACGTGTGCATACGGGGCACAGCCGTGTGTGCTGACACACACACACACAGATAGACATACACACAGAGAGATAGACACACACACACACACACACACACACACGTCGGCCACAGCCACGTGTGCTGACATGAACATGTGTAGCATGACCAAAGACACACCAAACGTGTGCTGACATGAACATGTGCAGCATGACCAAAGCACGCGTGGCTGGGCACGCACGGCACTGCCAAGCACACGTGTGTGCAAACACGGGTGTGAGCACACCACGGCCTGGCTGAGGGCACACATGTGCACACAGGTATGTGCATGCACAGCAGAGCCAACTGCATGTGCATTCAGCACACACGCAGCAGGGCTCCATGCATATGGACACGTGTGCACACCTGTGCATGGACAGCACACTGGACACGCAGCATAGCCAAGGCTGCCCATGTACATGCATGTGATGCACACTGGCATGCTGGGTTGAGCACACACGGCATGGCCACGTGCACACCCTTGCACACGTGTGCACAAACAGGCAGGTATGAACAGTACAGCCAAGTGCACCCAGGTTTACATGCATGTGCATGGACACGTGGTCACACACAGTGCTGACATGTGCAGTGTCACTGGGGCACACACACATGTGCTTGGAACTGTGGCCACACAGCACCCTGCACAGCACATGCACCACACGTTTGTGCACATGCCTACGTGTGTGCACACCCCCCTACATGTGAGACCTACATGTCTGTGCACACAGACCTACAACACCTGTACGTATATGCACACACCAGATGGCTGTGTGCACACCTACATATGTGTACACACACACCTACATGTGTGCACACACATACACCTGCATATATGTGTGCACACATACATGTGACCTACGTGTGTGCACACATGTACATGTGACACCTACCTACGTGTCTGTGCACACAGACCTACCTGCAACACCTGTACACATGTCCATACACCCGTACACATGTGCACACACACACACACACGTGTGCATACACATACATCTGCATGCCTGTGCACACACACCTACATGCCTGTGCACACACCTGCATGTGTGCACACACCCCACACATGTGCATACACCTACACACGTGTGCACACACATACATCTGCACGTATGTGCACACAAACCTACATGCCCAGGTAACGCCCCCCAACCGATGCCCCCCCACTCCCCACGTTGGGTGCCCCCGGGTGCCTCACTGTGGCCCGACGGGACCCCCCGCTCTGGCCCCCGGCCCAGCGCCCCCCCCCCGCTCCCCGCAGGCTCCGCCGCCCCCCCGGGACATTGGCTGTTCCGCCTGGCCGGCACCGACCCCGGCACGGACCCCGGCACCGCCCCCTCCGGCACCGCCGCCGCCCCGGAGAACGGTGAGGCTCAGCACCTCAAGGCCCTCCCGAGCCCCCCTGACCGTGATTCCCCCGCAGGCGGGTTCGAGGCGCGACCCCCGGTGCGGGGTCTGCAGGGTCGCAGCCTCAGCGTGCGGATCGCACCCGTCGGACCCCCGGGGCAGGGGGAGCCGGGCCCCCCCCGCGGCCCCCGACGGCCCACCCGGCTCCGCCGGGCCGCCAGCGCCGAGGGGACCCCGCGCCGCCCCCCCCCGGGCCAGGGCAGCCCCGGGGTTGGGGCCTCGGCCCGGATCGTGCTGCCCGACGGGGGCGCGGGTGTCCCCCTGGGCCGGCGCCCCCCCGGCCCCCCGGCGCTGGGGCGGTCGCGGAGCTCGGCCAGCCTGCCCCCCCGGCCCGAGGGGGGTCTGCGCCGATCCGCCTCGCTGGGCAGGGGCGCGGGGGGGACCCCCCTGTCCGCCCGGGGTCCCTCCGGGGCCACGCTGCAGCGCGGCCGGCAGCCCCACGGTCCTCTGCGCCCCGCGGCCGTGCCAGAGTCCAGCTTCTGAGCTGCAGATGGGGGTCATCGCCCCCCAGCACCCAGACAGGGGGTCCCGAACTAAACTGGGAGCTCCCGAACTGCGAGAGTCCCAGTTCAAGGGTTCCTGAACCAGAGGATCCCAAACAAGGACTTCCATCCTGATCCAGGAACATCCCGACCCGGGGGCATCCCCCACCGGGGCATCCTGACCTGGGGGCCCCGGAACCGGGGCATCCCCTAGCTGGAGGCAGTCAGGTACCCCAGAGGTGGGTTATCCCAATCCAGAGGCATCACAAGCTGGGGACATCCCAAACTGGACTCTCACAAACCAGGGGCTCCCAAACTGGGGGCATACGAAACTGGGACTGTCCCAAACCAGAGGCTCCCAAATCAGGGCATCCCAGCCTGAGGGCTCCTGAGCCGGGGGGAATCCCAGACCAGGATATTCCGACCCAGAGGCTACTAACCAGGGGGCCTCCTGAACCAGAGCCTTTCAAACAGGGAATCCTGACACGAGGGCTCCCAAATGGGGCACCTGGACCCAAGGCATTCCTGCCCAGGGCCATCCTGACCCAGAGGCATTCCAAACTGGGGCCATCCCCAGATGGGGATTTCAGACCTAGGGACATCCCGACCTGGGGACATCCCAAACTGCCGTCATTCCAAACCGGTGGCTCTGAATCCAGGGGTATCCCAGCACCGGGCCATCCCAACCCGGGGGCATTTCCCACTCACCCCCCCACGCCCCTTCCCCGGGAGCAGGCGGGCTGAGGCTCCCCGGCTCCGCCAGCTCGAGGGCACCAGAGTATTTATTGTACCAGGAGAGTTTTATTCAGAGACGCTTTTTGTTTTCTAAAAGGCGACTATTTTGGGGGGTGGGCGGGTCCCCCACACCACGGTTCTATGCAATACGCGATTCCTCCAGCCAGCTTTTGTACGCGGGGCTCCGCCCCACCGCCGGCGGTTTCTATTAAAGACACGTCAAACAAGTCCGGTGTCCGTGCCAGGGGGACGTGTCCGAGGGGGAAAAGGGCTTTGTGTCCCATGGCAGGTGGGGATCAGCCTGGGAGTGGGGCTCGGTGGGGTCAGTCCTGGCCGGATCCCACCCCGCACGGTGGCTGTGCCCGGGGGGAGGTCTGGGAGGGGGTGGCAGCACCAAGAGCACCAGCGGTGTGGGACCGTGGGGCTGTGCCCACCAAGGTACCAGGGAGATGTCTGGAGAAACTTGGTGCAGCCACAGTAAGGCAGGGATGGAGGTGGAGGAGGTGGGATCAGGATGGAGCTGCAGGAGATGGATGTACAAGCGGAGGAGAGGAAGAGGTGCTGTAAGTGGACACAGAGGTGGGATCAGGGTGGAGGAGACATATGGATGTGGAGGAAGTGGGACTGGAGTAGAGGTGAAGAAGAGGAAGGTTGAAGAGCAGGAGGTAGGGGGGATGAGGTGGATGAAGGAGACAGGAACAGATATGGAGAGAAGTGGAGATGGAGGTAGAGATGGAATTAGGATTGGGTCAAGGTGGAGGAGGGGGAGGAGGAAGGTGGAGGAGACTATTCCTTGCTGGAGGGCTGTTCCAGTCCAAGGCCCTTGCTGTGCCACTGCTGGTGCTGTGGCTGTCACCCTGCTTGACCCATGTTGTCACCCAGGCACACACAGCAGCCTTGGGCATGGCAGGTTCCCTGGGGCACCCATGGGTGCTGGCAGTGACATGGACAGGACCCCCTGGCCCTACACCCAACTGCAGCTGGGAGGGGGTGGGAGCCCCAATATGAGTGACCACCCTAAGCCTGAAGCTTCCCCATCCCATGGTACCAGACCCATGACAACATCAACCATAATATCATCAAACAGAAAGCATCAAATCATCGTTTTATCACCCAAACCCACCCTAAACCCCACTTCCTACAGCCCTCTCTGAGAGTCTCTGTCCTAAACCCACCTCCCCAAATTTGAGCTGGGACCACCCCAAGCCTGGTGCTGCCCCATCCTGTGGGACAGGGAGCACAACAACATGCACACGGCAAACCCCATCACCTTATTCAACCACTAAACCCCACTTCCTACACCAAAGTGCCTCTCACAGCTCGAGTCCTAAATCCAGCAGTGGGCACCAATCCAGTGCTGGGCTGGAACCAGCCCAAAATCCAGGCTGGGACCAGCCCAGGTTAAATGCTGCCTCATCCCATGGAACTAGAACAATGACATCCCACACAAAGCAAAATCCCCATCATTTTACCCCCCCAACCCTCATTAAACCCCATTTCCTATGGCAAAGTGCCTTCCAAGAGCCCATGTCCTAAATCCATCAGTCGGCACAAATCCAGTCCAGGTCCACCCCAAATCCAGTCCAGGACCACCCCAAATCCATGCTGGCACCACTCCAAATCCAGGCTGGAAGTACTCCATGCCTGGTATTGCCCCATCTCATGGGACCAGGACCAGGACAACCCGCACTAACCCCACCCCCGACCCTCCTCCACCCCAAATCCTCCCCCCACAGCCCCGGTTAAGGGCAGCCCGGTGCTGCCGGGGCAGGAAGCAAACGCCGGTGCCTCCGGGCAGTTCTCAGCGAGTGGCACACGGATTTATTGGATTTATTGATTGCTTCGGGGTGCTGGTGCCCCCCGGGTGCCCACCTGGGGCGAGGGGCACGGCGCGAGCGGGGCGGGGGCGAAGCGCTGCCATTTCCATCCTCCCTCTCGCACCGGCTGGGTGGGAATGGCTCCAAATAAAACAAATCTCTCTATAGTTTCTCTCTCTCTATATACAAATATATAATATATATATATCTCTGCCGATATATATATATAGAATCTTCTCTCTCTGGAAAGGATAAAAGGTTAATTTGTCTGTGCATGCACGACCAAAGCCACCAACCCACAGGGACAGCGGGTGCCAAGGGACGTGCACCCTCACCCGCCAGCACCCCGAGAGCCCGGGGGGGCCACATCCTGCACGTGCCCAGGTTATTGCTGGTCGGGTCCCATCCTGCTCCGGCAAACAAGCGGTGGGGGAAGAAGCCGAAGGAAGGAAATCCCACTGCAAAGCGCCGGCGAGCTCGTTGTCACCTGGCTGGTACCCAGTGGCACCCGCCGCCGGGGCACGGAGGAGGTGGTGGTGTCACCCCAGGACGGTGGGTGCTGCGGGGTGGGGGGTGCAGGCACCCGGCCGAAAGGCAAAGTCTGGATAAGGCGAAAAAAAATGAAATAAAGAACAGTGACCGCCCCCAAACCGGGCACTTTGCCACCCGAAACTGGCGCGCCCGTGGCCCTCGGTGCCGGTGGCCGGTGCTGGCCCCGGGGTGCCGCACGGATGAGCTTGGGGACAGGGACACTGTCATAGGGCTGTGCTCTCTGATTCCTCCTCCTCCTCCTCCTGCCGGGGGGTCAGGCTCGGCCCCGAGAGTCTCTGCGCTGCCTCCGGCGGGTCCCGGCACTGGGCAGCATCCGGGGGGACGTGGAGGGAGGGGACCTCAAAACGGAGCAGACCTGTGGGAGGGCACAGTGATGGGGGACACTGTGGCGGGGGCTCGGGGGCAGGACACCCGCCGGGGCTGGCACCGTGTTAGTGCCACCACCAGGGATGTCACCCCGCTCCATGCCACCCCACCCGACCCGGTGGTGACACCGGCTGCCCCGCCCCTCCCAGGGGACCCGCAGGGCGAGGCTGCACTTGTGGTGACAGAGGGTGACCCCAGCCCCGGGTGGGCGGTGTCACCATGTTCCTTGCTGAGAGTGGAGCAACCCCAGGTGGGCAGGAGCTCCTGAGGGCACATGGCAGGGCAGCTGCCCCCGTGCCAGGGGCAATGCCAGGGTGTGATGTCAGGGCTGCACTCATGCCAGGGTGCAGTTCCAGAGCCACAGCAATGTTGGTGCCATCCAAAGGCAGGTGGCAGCCCCTGGGGGGGCCCTGCCCCACAGGGTGGCCGGGGCTCAGTGCTACCCACGCTGTCCCACCCCCTGCGGGCAGGATGAGCATACAGGGACAGAGCCTCTGCCCCATCAGACTCCGTGGGGGCTCCCTGACCCCACACGTGCCCAGCCCCTGTGTCTCTTGGTGTCCCTGATGTCACCTGGCCATTCCCAAAGCATATCCCTGACTGTGCCTATCCAACAGCTGCAGGGACACGGGGCGGGGGGTGGGACACATGACACCAACAAAGCCCAGCAGGGTCAGAACAGCAGGAACGGCAGGAACAGCAGCACAGGCTCATGGGGCTTCCCAGGGACAATGCCACCTTCCTGGGGACGCTGCCAACTTCCAAGGGACATAGCCAAGTGCCCGACTACATTCCTGGGCTCATCACCACCTTCCTCAGGACAGTTCCACTTTTCCAGGGACATCACCACCTTCCTGACTACATGGCCACCCTCACAGGGGTGTTGCCACCTTCCTGGGGACATTGCCATCTGCCTGGGGACATTGCCACCTTCCTGGGGCCAGCACAACCTCTCTGTGGCCAGTTCTGTCCTGCCAGTGATACAGTCACCTTCCTGGAGACATCGCCACTTTCCTGAGGATGCTGCCACCTTACCAGTGACCCATCCACCTTTCCAGGGACACTGCCACCTTCCTGGGGACACTGCCACCTTCCTGAGGACATTGCCACCTTTCTAGGGATACCACCACCTTCCTGAGGATGCTGCCACCCTCTTGGGGACATCGTCACCTTCCTGGGGCACAGTTCTGCCTTTCCAGGGACATTGTCATGCTCCTGGAGGACACTGCCACAACTGCCACCTTCCTGGGGACATCCCCACCTTCCAGGGCACACTTCTACCTTTCCAGGGCCAGTTCCACCTTCCCAAGGACATCGTCACCTTTATGGGGATACCACCACCTTTCTGAGGATGCTGCCGCCCTCCTGGGGACATTGCCACTTTCAAGGGCACAGTTCTACCTTTCTAGGGACAGTGTCACCTTTGGGAGGACACTGCCACCTTCCTGGGGACATCTCCACCTTCCAGGACACAGTTCTGCCTTTCCAGGGCCAGTTCCACCTTTCCAGGGACACTGTCACCCTCCTGGGGGACACTGCCACCTTCCAAGGGACACAGTCAACATCCCGACTGAGCTCACCACCAACTTTCTGGGGAGACGCTGCCACCT